TGTGTGTGTGTGTGTGTGTGTGTGTGTGTGTGTGTGTGTGTGTGTGTGTGTGTGTGAATAGGTTCTCACACTCCAGTTTTCCCAGTCACTATCGCTCAAGTGTCGCAAAAACCAAAGTAACAAGAAGAGATCAACAATAGTGACATTTCCTTCCAGCTTTCACACGCTTCCATGTTGCTTTCACTCTTTATCTGTAGAGGGAAGATCTTGCTGAGATTGAGAATACCGTCCCCTTAGGTGAAACGGTTTGGATCAACATTGACTTGTGTTTGCACTCGTCGTAACACATATCCTTCCTCATGGTGGTTGTTTTAATTTTTATCATTTGTGTCTGATGAACTCCTTTTTCAACATTTAAAAGGCAGTCAAATAAAAAAAAAATGAGTGCACGAAGAAACAGGGTACAGAATAATTGAAGATTATGTTTCAAGTCCAATGTGCAAGGAATGCAGATATAGTCAACTATATTCATGTCATAGAATGTTGTAAGTGACAAAGTATTTGCAGGAGTCTGTATACATGTCAATGGAATAAGATAAGAAAGACAGGAAGTGAAATCAAATACTGTACAGTGAAATTAAATACTGCTTATTGTAGTAGTAGTAGTAGTAGTAAATAAATGATGAGATGCAATGTAGACTGGGTTACCAGGGGCTTAAATGGGTCTTGCTTTGTGGTAAAGGCACCTTTCCTGGGATTATTCCAGTAGCCATACACTTGATGTCCCAGCCCGACTCTAAGTAGTGTTATGTTTATCCCCCAAACAAAGCCCGGCTGTGTGTGCTCACCACATACTACGCTCTGTTTGTCTGATGTGACAGCTCAGTGCACCGCTCCCAGACCTCCCTGGTCACATGACCCAGGGCAGACACTGTGATGTCATGCTGCTGTCTCCCCGCTCTGTGCATGAGGCTCCGGGGACTACACCAGGCCATCGTGTACCGTCTGTCCGGAGAGAGGCTCGTGTTGTTGAATCCTCACTAGAAGTGTGCAGTATAATTCTTTCCATTGTTTTGACCTGAACACAGTAATGTCCCCCGGGACACTCTGAGCACCTGCTTGTTTCCTGTTTACTGAGCTGCTAGTGGAAATGATATAACCGAGACTTCCTATGGACAC